GAGAGAGATTATCAGAAGGATGCAAGGATTTAGTTAAGGAGTTTTCAAATATTCGTTTAGATTAATAATATGAGGTTCAAATCAAAGAAGAAGGAATTAAGGCTATTAGCCCTAATTACAAATCTTCAAAGCGAAAGTGTTATTTAGACTAAAAAGCTTTGACATTAAGAATTGTTAAGTTTTATGGATTTTCAACTTAAAACCAACATGATAGTACAAATGAATTATATCCTTTATATTAACACTTTAGTTCTCATCTTATTTTCGATGTAGGATTAATAAATTATAACATTCATAACTATCAATACATACAATATTTTTTGAAAAATATTGAAAATTAGATGATGTTGGGGAATCATATCCTTGTCGTATAGTTCTTTCATCTTCATTCATAATAAGACAAAACAAAATGATATTTTAAATTTTTTTAAAAATATAAAACAAATATATAGATATAAAATAAGAGGGGACATTCAAGTGGGAAGTGGATTTTTTTTTTCATGTGTGTGAGTGTAAATGTGGGTGTGGAATAACACAATGAAAAAGGAGAGTGAAGACAACATCATTTTCCCCAAAGAAAGCTAAGTCTTAGAATCATCACTCCAATTCCCTTTTTGGCCCCTTCTTCTCTCTTTTCTATTTCTTTCTACTTTGACCCTCCCTTCACTTAATTACTATCTATATGCTTTTTGACACCCTCATTACTCTCTAAATTAACAATTTAGTGTAAAATATTAATTAACCACCCTAATCAATAGCACCTGACCAATTATTCCAGCTAATTCCTTTGGACATGATTCAATTAAAGCTTAGTTGAAAAATAGTGATATTACAAGACCTCTAATTTCTTCTCTTTATTTTTGGAAAGTGATAGAAGAAAAAAAGAAAGGGAGAGCAACAAACTTTTGGAACAAGTCATAGATTAAAAGCCTCATAGCTTTTTATTTTATCACTTTCATTCCTCTCTTCTCATTCTATCAGACTTTGAGAGAGAATTTAAGAGATCTTGATCAGATCTTTTATTTCTTCTTATGTCTTCTGAAAATCGATTCTAAAATCCAATAATCTTACAGAGAAAACTCTATTTATATCTTGAAAATTTTGTAGAGATGAGAAATTACTACTCTAGTAGAAAATCTCGGAAACATATTACTACTGTTGCCTTCATCATCCTTCTTCTTCTTTTGTTTCTGTTTCTTTACGCTAAAGCTTCATCGTCTTCTCTTGATATTCATCATCACTCAACTCATGGAAGCTTGAAGAAACCTGGAATTTTGGATCCAAAGCTTCATGATCTTAATTCCAATGCTGCGTCAAGAGGATCAAGATATACTTATCAAGGTGGTGATGAAGATGGTTTTGAAGATGACAAGAGAAGGGTCTTCACAGGTCCTAATCCTTTGCACAATCGATAAAAAAAAAATTTGCTTTTACAAGTTTTGTGAATTTTTGTCTGAATAAAATAACATTTGTGCAAACAAAAAAACCATATTTATTTACCTTTTTTTGTTTTTCTTACACTAATATACATTATATCGTACGTAATCTGTCGTGATTTGGAACTTAACTATGTTCTATTTGGAGGAATGAGATTTTGAGATATTGTTGAACAACGGGTCTCTCTTTGAAATTAGTAAGTGTTGTTTCTTGATTTTCTTTCTCTATGATATTAAGATGAGTGTTTTTAGTGTATTATTACGCATAATTATATTTTCTACCATTTGGTTTAATAAGAACCTGTTGGAAATTTCGTGTGGTACGAGTATTTTGATGATGATAAAATGAAACATCATTGTTGATGCCAAGGAAAAAAAAAATGAACATCATTGATAAATTGAAATTATGATAAAGCTTACAGAGTTGGATGTGAAAGATATACAATTACAACAGGTTATCTCATGCTTACAATTTTAACTGAAATTGATTTGAATAATTTATCACTATTACACAAAAGCTTAATAAAGAGAATTGTTTAGTATGGAAATATCTGTAAAACCACATGAGTGTGAAAAAGTAATTACAAACACACTAAATGTTAGCTTCATCTGGAACAAGAATGACAATTATTATCATTATTAGACTTAAGCTGACACAATTTGGTACTGTTACTGCATAATTTTATTTACCGCGAATCATAGACTATGCTCTATTGCATTTTACTATGACGACTTCACATGTTACTAGGTGTGGTCAATACGTACGAAACAGAACAAGAACTGTCGGAATAAGATACGACTGGGAATTAAAAGATCAAAAAACAAAATCTTATTACATTCTCAATGAAAACTCGATATTAAAGTGTAGGGACAAGAAAAGAGATTTTCCACAGTGAATATAATCAAAAGCCAAAAACGAGAAATTAACATTTTACAGATATACAAAATTTGGAAAAGATTTCCATTACATATTCATGGAGAATTTGGGAAAGACTTTCTGTTTCCAAATAAGAATTGAAATCATGTCCTAAACATAACTTTTTCTACCACATAAAGATGAGAATCATAATTAGATGAACACGAGAAGAGAACTTTGACCACTCATACATAATTACGATCAACTAATAAAAGCAAAGAGTGTCAAAGTATCTCCCTCCACCTAATCAAACCTTTGGAACCATATTGTAATGAAGACACGAATTTTAAGAGTTTAATAAGTATCGCTTTGCAGCTTCTGGATCCAACTCTTCATACACCTGAAAAAAAAAAACCAAACAATAAAATGTCCCCGGCATTAGTACCGATCTGCAATACGCGTCTTTATAACATAATGTGCGAATGTGTGTGACACGTACAAGTTTCTTGTGGAGTTTCTCGAAAGCCTTGCAAAACCTCTCTGCTTCAACCTCACCAACCTGCGACAATGAGATGTTCATTAAGGTTTAATAACAAGTTAACATCACGAATATAAGTCGTCGACCCAGAGAGATGAGACAAGAATCAATTCTGTCAGTAGTTGTATCTAAGTTATGAGCGAAAAAACAAGAAATATATCAATCTTCTTTGCCTAGCAAATCTCTTATTCATAATTCTACACCAAATGCGATAAAACTTTGTTTACTAAACTATGTGCTCCAACTCTATCAGCAAACATTAGATTATAAAATCTCATTCAACAACTGGAAACGTTTGAACAAAGTAACGGGTGATGATTACCTTCTTCGCAGCAGCCATTTTCAGCTTATCCCAAAATGTATCTGTCAAAAGAAGTCCAGAATCAGGACAAGGGATGCAAAATTATTCAGCAAAACAAAAGAAAATAAAAGATGCACATGTTTCACGATAAAAGGAGCAAAAGTAACTCTCTTACTCTAAACAATCATAAATCCCCTTGTTATACAACTTAAAGAGCTACACTATATGCTACTGTTATACACTTATAGTTTAGTTCTTAAGCTGTATAACAAGCTGTTTATGATTGTTTATGTGTTAAGCAAATGCATTGGGATATAAAATTTTGTTTTGGGAGCTTAAGACACATTTGAGTTCTCTCTGAAGTTTGAAATCGACTTGTATTACATCATTCGAAAGAGATACCAGTTATTCGAGTTCCCAAAGTAGGAAAAAAAATACATACCTTGATCAGGCTTCCACTCTTTCAAGTCTTTCGGCTCAGCTACGCTCGGTAAATCGTTCCATTCGCTCACCTGCATCGAGTGATTCAAAGTTCTATCACCATTTCAAGCGTATATATAATCAGCAATTAACGAAAAGAAGGAGCCTTA